CTGAAATAATAACTTATCTTACAGCAAAATGATTCTGAGACATATACTTCCTTTAAGTTTTGTTGAGGGGGACATGTTTAGTGCTGTTAGAAACTTAAAACACCGTTATCTTTGTGTCTCTGAAGCGTCTGTCAGCGAAGCGCCTTTTCTCACTCGAGCATAAATTGCTGGCGGCGCCCCTACATTGTGGATATTGTTTTTCTCAATAATAACGTGAAACAATATAAACACGATAATCATATGCTGACTCGAGTGTGTGTGTGCGTTCTGTACGATATCTGGCGCAATCTGCTCTATTAGGCGTTTTTTTCCCGTTCGCGCTGCTTAAGCAATGCTTTTGTTTTTTTTATATTTTTTGTTTACACATAGGCCTACTGTTTAATGTTTTCAACTAAAAGAAAACTTTAACATATATTGTAAGCTTGTTGTGTATATTGCCTAATTGTAAGCTTGTTCAGAAATGGTGACAAAAACGTGAAAAAAATTTAACTTAAAAAATAACGTCTTTTTCGTTAAACGTCATTTAAATAAACGAATTAATATTCGATTTTTATGAGCCCGAATATTCGAATGCTATATTTTTGAAAAATGCCCATCCCTAGTAACAGCACTTCAGCTTCATAACTTCCTACCAATGGAGTCATCAAAGAGCCAACCGTGCCAAACACCAGAGGTCATGCCCAATCTCTTCCATATGTCCCATCATTCCCAGTCAAAGCCACACATGAATAATAATGCAGTACAATCCTGATTCTGTTTCTAGCAATATTGCATCAAAGTGTCTCAGTGTACAGCTTTCCTGTAGCTCAAACAGTAAAGTGTTGGCACTTGCAACACCAAGGTCATGGGTTTGATTCCCTGGGAAATAACTGATAATGTAAATGTGTACCTTGAAATGCAATGCAAGTCGCTTTGGATAAAAGCGTCTGCCAAATGCATAAATGTAAATAAGTGTCTCCAACACAACAAAAATATCACGATTATTAGCAGGCAAAGTCTACATACCAGACATGCGTAATACATTTTTCACTTTTACGAGACGTCTAATACTCACTCACCGACTGTACTCTCAAAACATGCAAAAACAACTGAAGGATTGTGGAAGAATAACTGGAACAAGAAGCATGTTTTCCAGTTCACTGTCCATAGGCATTTCAAAAGTTACAAAATTACAATGTTGATAAGAATAAAAAAAGGTTTATTTGTACTTCAATTATTTGATGAGTAAATGAGCCACAATGGAATCACAAACTATACAAAATAAAAATAGATATAGTTATTGATTATGAAACAATGTAACAATATAAAACAATAGGATATAAACAATGAAAATCTAACAATATTAAACAATCAAACAACAAATATATATAGCATATAATTAGTTGCTCTATACATAGCAATTACATAAGCTTGATCACCCACAATGCTTTATGGGATTGGGCGTTCTCTGAAAAGCACTTTTAAAATGACGTTCATTGCCAAGGTAACAGTGATTTCTCTTAGTGATGGATCTCTGCAGGATTATGGGGTAGTCTGGGATTTTGCCTTTTAAAATTTCTTTCTTAAAGTTAAAATCACTAGGACTTGTGGCTTGTACATCAGCAGGTCTTGTCTGTAAATAGTCTCAGGTTCAGACATTACACAAACAAACTGTTGGCTGAACATCTGATGCATAAGGCACACAAAATTGGAAACACTTCAGGAGTTTCAAAGTCATCATCTGATTGGTTGAATTCTACAGGATTTCCGGGAGACGTGTGTCGCTTTCGTTAACGGTCTGCCTGGAAACAAAGCCGTCGTGATGCCAAACCCCCTCATGGAAAAAGAAAGCTGTTATGTTTATAACTGTGATAATGAGCGTTTATCAGGATCCATCAACTAAACACCGGGGGCACGTTCAAGTTCAAAATGGTATGCAACGTTTTGCTACGGTTTCCGGGTTGAACGTCATGTTTCCTGGAAACGGCGCGCACCGGTGTGCAACAGGGTTTGAGATACGTTTTCTCTTGTTTGGTGGGTGTGTCAGAACTGCAGTCCAATCAGCAGCAACATGTATATAAAGCACGCGGTATTAAAGTGAACTCGCACAATGGGTTCAAGGAAAGTCATTTACAAACGTGTTCGATGCAGTTCGGTATACGCAACAACTGAGGATATTAGAAGACATGTTTATTGTAAAAATATAGGATATCAACATAATGATGTAGTTGTTTATATTTTTAGCTTCATTGCAAGTGTATGGCATTTGGTAAATATAAACAATGGTAATTAAGTGCTTTTCCTAAAAATGAGAAAGAAAATACAGGGTATTAAAACAGTATGAACTACAAATAAAGTCAGTATGTGAGGATAAATAGATGTGTTTTAGTGTGAATTAGGTAAGATGTGTGCTTCCATTTCAGTTTCCACAAACCCCATCACTCGATTGGGATGTTCTCTTGTGTTCTGGGCGGCAAGTGCAGTAACTGTAACATCGGGCATATTTTGTAGTATTAAACGCATATTTATACCAATACTGTAGTTGCAACTCTTATGTCATCAGAACAGTGTGTTCAACAAATCACCGTTTCGGTTTAAAAAACGTTGTGCAACGTTTTGTCGGGGCTGAACGCAGCCCTGGATTTTCAATTATGTGAAGCATGTGAAGATAACGGGATAAACTCTGTAAAATACATCCAAGAGTTTTACACGCCGGTCTTTTATTGTAGGGACGTCAAATTGACATTTTCACGCCCCTAAACAAAACAAATTGTGATTGGTTGCTTTACATGTCAGTCAGACGGCCTCTTATCGGAAGTTATTGGCCAATTAAAGATGCGATGAGTCCAGACTAGTCTGTAAAGCTTTGTACATTACTGTTAAAAATCAATTTCCTTATGGAGAAAATAAATTGGATTTTTACTCCCAGAGCACAATTTTTGCTCTCTTTAACGACCTAGTCAATTCAATTTCTGATACCAATGCATGCATCAAAATAATGCTGTTATCTTCTGTTCTAGTGTCTGCATTTCAGGTTTGCTGCACTCCAAATTAATTCCACTATACTATGAACTTTAAATACAAGAGTTCACTGGTCTGAAACTGCAAACAAGCTACGTGCATTGAGCCATTAGACTATCTTTGGTTTGTCTGGCAACTCCAATCGAGATGAGATATATATTCCAATATATACTCCTCTTACAGCATAAAATAACATCTTTCTCCTGCAGAAACACTTAGAAATCCTTCCACAAACCTTTCGACAGGAGCACAGTGAAGACTCAATGATCAACGCTGTGTGGATTCATAGCAAAAGATCTCGATCACGTAAAGCCATCTGAAGTTAGTTCTTCTGCTGCACAATAAAATCTTATAAATGCTGGTTCCCTTTAAGAGCGAGACCTTAAGCCTGATTATGTAACGTTCCTGAAAACCTTCACCCAGCTGGGAGTTTTGTTTGGTTGTTTTCCCTGTTGAACACCCGGGACGTCCCTCTGTGAGCAAATAACCCAATCACCATAGACAAGATATGCTGAAACACAGCTTGAGTATCACTTTAACTACACTTGATGGTAATAAAATCAGTGACCATGATATATAATGATGTCCTATTTATCCCAGTGATGAGTGGGCACATCTACAGATTCACAGATAAAGCCAGAGACTCTATTAATACCAGATCTGCAAGACACATGAAGCACATCCAAAGCAGTTCTGTCTGCCGTCATCTCGATTAAAGCGAAAGAACCACATGGAATTATCAAAAAAATAATCCCTTATGACAGCTGATCTATGCTGATATGATTTTGGTAAGCTTGGGGTTTGTTTTCACAAAACAAATGTTGTTTTCCAGAAAGTGTGTCTGACTCAGTGTGTAAACTTCACGACTCCTGACAACCATATCAGCATATTTTATCCCCTCAACAAGTTGCTCAAAAGAAGTGGGGTTGTTATCGCTGAATCAACAGGAAAAACTATACTTAAAAGCAATGCAGAATCCGGATATTTAAAATGATTTTACATTATATATATATCAAATGAAGGATGCACCCTCACACGTTATCATTACATTATCATTATTACTTTGTTTATCGGTATAAATTAAGATATTATCATAGTTTTAACCATAAAATAAAGTAAGCACTATAAATAATTGCTAAACCACACCATTAAAGGTCAGATCATGTGTTAGGGTGTCTCCTTCAATAGTAAAATCAGGAACTGACTTCTCATAAATAAACCACACTGATTTCAAAGGTTACTAAAACAAAGTTGAACCCAGATCAAACCCATCCACTTCTTCAGCCATATCCATCAATAACACATTTAAAGGTGCAGATAAACGTCATCCTCAAAACATGAAGAGAAACAATTATGTTATGAAAGTGATGACAGGTATGAAACAGCCTGTTGTACTCATATTAGGGATGTGCTGTCAAGTTAGCTGAAGATGCTTATAAATAAATGAGTGCCTTTGATTTCACCCCGAGGCCACAATTTATTTATATTTATTTTCATAAATAAACGCATATGAAATAATATGTGTATTATTACAACATCCAGCGCACTGATATTGAACTCATTCACTCATTAGCACGGTTAGCATTAGCTGCTATCGCACTGTGTTTGTGTTTCACAAGACAAAAGCCACATTCAAATACAGCTTTAAAAGAAAGTCGTTTCATTTATATTTAGATGTATGGCCTACACCAATAAGCTTTCCAAGAAAACACCATAAACATAAGACTAATATTTTTATTTGATAAAATTCTCAGTCAGTAAGGCGGCCCGGAGCGACTCACCGGCTGTGTGTCAAAACCAACCGAAACCCCCTATCTAGACAGTATTTTCAGCTCTTCACACGCGAATCTAAACTCTGAAACGCCCCTAAAATGAACTAAAAAGAAACAAAAGGGGTCGAAATGTTGTTTTCGAGCGCTCAAACGCACATATGACAGACACAAACGTTGTCTATGTAGGGAACTCGCTAGGTTTTGACACACAGCCCCTCTCTCTCTCACCTGGACGTGAAGACTTTGGAGCAGCTGATGGAGCTGCTCAGGTCGCACATGGCGCGGTAACTGGCGTCGCGAGTCTTTTCCCTCTCCACATGGAAAGCGTACAGGGATATCAGGATTCCTGAGAGACACACGAGAAGCCTGACTATCCGCTCCCAGCGAGGGGTGGACACTCGCAAGACGGGCGCCGCCATTTTTTCCCGGCCTAAGCACGAACGCGCGCAGCCTCCCCTGCCTCAACCGTTGGGCGCGCGACGTGGAAAAGCGTCGGGACGTGTCATCAGACCATGGGGGCGTGGCTTGGGCTTAATGTGGGCGTGGTCTGTTCGACAGGGCTTGTGTCTATCAAGCGTCTCGCCATTCTTGTGTTAGTGGGGGCTTTCATAATAGAATAAAATTCAGGGCGTCTTTGTGTGGCCCTTTGCACTCTCATCTCACACCCGCATGTTGTAAAAAGCTGCAGGCGTGTATACAGAAAGAGAGAACTTTTGATTAACTTACATAATATTAAATTCAAATTTGCTTTATTGGCATGACTGTAAATAATACAATATTGCCAAAGCTTGGAATACATAGAAATTCTATGATAGAATAATAATAAAAACATCAAAATAATAGAAGAATTTCAATAAACAGTGTTACAAATTAGAACGTGTGAACATTTGATTGTTTTTAACACACAAACACACATTACTGAGGGTCACTGTGCTGGACAGTAGGGAAACTTGATATATATATATATATATACACACATACACACACACACAGTGTTATCACTTTAACTTAAATATGACTGAAGGAGTTTATGATGAAGTTAATGAATGAATGCCTCAATAATTAATTAGAGTTTATCTCTGAGTTGCTGGTTAATAATAATAATAATTAATTAATTACATTTATACAGCGCTTTTCTCTGCACTCAAAGCACTTTACATTTATACATAAAGAAATGACTGAATCTTAAAATGTGTAATATATTGTGTGTTTTGTATTGATTTGCATTATTTGGTCCACTAACATTGTATTCTACTGTATTGTATGTTATATTGTGCTGACTTGCATTTTTTATAGTAGCTATAACAGACATCATTAAACAGAGTTTGAAGTGCTATACTTTAGTTAAAACTAGAGTAAAGTTGGATGACAAACTTTGAAGAAGTTCAAAATAACTTTGAAAAGTTTGGAGATTTTATTCAGAAAAAGTAAAAACATGTTGCTAACATGATTTGCATGTTGTTAACATATTTTAACACATTATTAGCATGTTGTTAACATGATTTTAGCATGCACATTCAGCATTTTTAGCATGTAACCCTAGTAGGCAAGCTTTGCTAGTGACAGCTTAAATAGTCTATCCACCTTATTTGTCAACGTGTAATTAAGATATTTTCTTTGAATGTGCGAGACATCAGATTTATTAGCCGCTATATGGAAATAGTGAAAAGAATAGCTATATCAAGGTGCAGTAAACTGTAAAACTGTTTGTGCTACAAACTAGCGTGTATATCAAGACACTGCATTAAAATAATATGGTAAGAAATACCAATCTGCAATATCAAGCATCATAACGTGCTGTTTTGTACATCTAAAAAAAATAACTGAGAGCGAATGACACCGGAAGCCACTCGACATTGGCATAAATGAAGTTACACCACACTGCCACATTGTGGATTCTTTCTGCAGCACCGTTTTCTAAAAGGAACATTTATTAAAGACATATGTGCAATAATGAGAAGTAACAAATAGGGAATAATGCCCGTAACATCGGTTAAATGCACGTTTTTTTTCAAGATCTCGCAACCATGCTTTGACAGATTTACTCACAATAGCCTAACTGTTGAAGCAAACATAGAGTTACAGCACCTACAACTTTGTTACATTTTGGCTTTGGAGAAAAGTGCATCTCATTATAAAGGAATAACTTTGATCAATTTTGATTTGATAATCCGTAAACAAAAACGAACATTACGAGAATAAAGTCGAAACAAATCGAGTCTTCCGTAGAAGTTTCGTGTGTGCTTTCCGTTGTTTCGCATTGCCGCACACACAGGCGTTCATAACGTGCGCGTCCACTGGCGCAGAGCAAGTGTTTCCAATTCATTATGTGTGTGTGTGTGTGTAGTGTTGTGTTGTGTTGTGATGTGATGTGTGTGTGTGTGTGTGTGTGTGGTGTGATATGGTGTGTGTGTGTGTGTGGTGTGTGTGTGATGTGGTGTGTGTGTGTGTGTGGGGGGGGTGATGCGATGTAGTGTGTGTGTGTGTGTGTGTGGGGGGGGGGGGGGGGGGGGGGGGGTGATGCGATGTGGTGTGTGTGTGTGTGTGTGTGTGTGTGGGGGGGGGGTGTGATGCGATGTAGTGTGTGTGTGGGGTGTGATGCGATGTGGTGTGTTTGTGTGTGTGTGTGTGTGTGTGACTGTGTGTGTGTGTGTGTGACTGTGTGTGTGTGTGTGTGTGTGTGTGTGTGTGTTTGCCTCGGACATGGATCTACACAAAATAGTAGCTTTTTACTTTTATCTGGGCTTTCAACAAAAGGAAATTCTGCAGGTGCCAATCTACCGACATGCATTACCATTTGTTTTAGGATGTTACAAAATATACTGCGCCGGAATAGACTTTACAGGCGAAAACACTTTTCAGACTGGATGGAGATATACAGCTTTATGAATGAATGAATGAGGCATTTATATAGCGCTTTCATGTCTACTGTAGGCCTAAAGCGCTTTACAATCATATCAGGGAATCTCTCCTCAACCTCTACCAGTGGTTATCCGAGGAAATCACGGGATCCGGCCAAATGATTGGACACAGAATGATATCCAGAACGTATACGGTGAAGAGGGAGACAGTACTGTTACTGTAAGTGTTCTCGGCCCAGATGACTTTGCCGAGCATGAAGACACTAGGCTTCGAGTCAACGTGCTACATAAAGTTTGCACCAGATTGTGGAACCGGAGTCTGTGCGTCCAGGCAATGCCATGGATGCATGTTGGTAGATTAATTGGCACCTGTAGAATTTCCTTTTGTTGAAAGGTCAGATAAAAATAAAAAGCTACTATTTTGTTAAGAAGATCCATGTCCGAGGCAGTTCGACTTCACCAACGCATTTCTTTACACATACACACACACACACACACACACAAATAACTTTTATGGAAGACTGTATTCTCTTAATTTTGACTTTATTCTCAAATTAGGCCTATTACAACTTTATTCTCGTAATGTTTCGAATTTAATCTCGAAATATTTTGGCTTTTATCTCGAAATATTTCGACTTTTATCTCGAAATGCTAGATTTTTTTTATAAGAGTAAAAAGAGAAAAAAGTTCCTAGCATGTTGCTAGCATGTTATTGCATTTTGCTAACATGTTTTAACACATTGCTAACTAGCTTTAGCATGTCACTAACTTGTTTTTAGCATGTTGCTAACATGATAGGCATGTTGTTTAAATATGTAGTTAACACGATTTAGCATGTTGTTAGCATGTTTAAATATGTTTCTAAAGGCGAAAGTATACTTCACTTTTTACGCGCGTTGCGAATTTCGTCATCAGAAGAGTACGCAGGTTCTGTATGCACACCGCCAGATTTTTGTAACCATTTGTATTCTTTCTGCTTAACATGGTTTAATACATTTAGCAAGTTTTAACATGTCGCTAGCATGATTAGCATACTGTGAAGGCTGTGCAGAAGTATGTAGGAAACTTAGGCAGACAAACATGTAAATGTTTCTTTTGTAATATATTTTTAAAATTTGTATGGAAAATTTTTTATTTTAAATGGTTGGAAAACAAAACAAAACAAAACAAAACTTATGGTTTATATCATACAGAACTGCAAAACTGCACAGAAATATGTAGTGTGAATTGTGTGATATATGACTATATGAAAATATATATAGTCGTATATGACTTTTGCACGTTGAATGTACTTCTGTCAATAAAAAAAGAAGAAAAATATGGAAGTGAGCTTTCTTTTTGCATGGATGCATGGATAAAAACAGCCTAGCGTTCAGCCAATCACAATAGCTTTAAATGAAGCAATCAGACGAATCGTATTAAAATGCAGCCACTCACACGGCAGCAAGAATTCTCCGCCAATCACCGACGAGCTCTAATACCCACGTGACGTTGGCGTTTCAGAAAACTGTGTGACTTGAGTGTTGTTTGTTTACTCACAGAAGAGAAGAGCTCGTGCAGCAGCAAGTCAAGTCTATAGTCTTTCAGCAAGATTATATTCTAATAAACATGGCCGCCACGGACATCGATAGATTAGTGTCATTTGAAGAAGCCCATTATGATCAATATGATTATTATAACCTGGAGGAATATCCCTGCCATGCCGGAGGAAAAGGCAGAAGTAAGAAGGAGATCGAACTGAACACTAATCGCCATTCCCCAGCCGGACACGAGAGAAAAATAACAGAAAAACTGCAAAACAGTGAAATAAAACGGAGGAGAACCAAGAGCTCGACATCCTGAGGAAAATGCATCGAGGTAAGTATGATCAGATTATGCTTTTTTATAATGAAAAAAGGGGACTCAGGGCATTTCTCTCTCTCTCTCTCGAATTTATTTTAAATTATTTGTTACCCCTGGCTCAATGTTTTTTTTTTTGCTTTAGTTTTTTTTGTCTATTTTACTGGCTTTTTGTCTACTGTTTATAATTATATTATTGTTGTTTAATTCTGTTTTGAGTTGTAACTGTATGTATCTTCATATATGTATGTTCAATTAAAAGAAAAAGAAGTATGATCATCAGTTAAATGTTAAATGTGTGCTGAGCGACATGTCTAGGCAAGTCCTCCACCCTTTGTGCTTCAACTCCTGTTTTATGTAACCACTAGGGATCAAATTTTCACGAGATTACATGCACCAATACATGCATCTCCTGTTTGTAATTATGTAATAACACATCGAATGCATTTTTGCGAATATTTCTAATGCTTTTGTGTTTAATGCTTTACAGAATCTGACCGTACATACTGGAAATTGATGAGTGAAACCGGATCGTGGTCAAATGTCTGTTTTGCCTTTTTCCCGACCCACTGAATGTTGATGTCATTCAGTTCGAGGCGCGCGCATGCGCACCTGTTCCATTCTGCTGCTGTCACGTGATACGATGGTGTGTGCCGCAGCAGTTCTGACGTGTGTGTTTGGGTGTTTGGTGTTTCACGTCTTAAACGTTCACTGACTTTGGAAATAAAACGTGTTCAGCTAAAGGAAATTATGTGTTATTAAAGACGCTGTAAATTTCTACAATGGAAGACTTAAAT